GGTTTCTGCAATACCTTGCGAAGCAATTTGTGAGGTAAACCAAATTATCAATTCATCTCAGGTGATTAATTTGATGCTTACTGATCACACATGTTTTGTATGTGAATCCAGGTCATTCAGCTATGACGTCATTCGTGCAGGCTTGCTTGCCGCCATTGTTGCCATGCCATGCAGCATTAGATATATTTTCATCGACTAGTTGACTGCCTAGTGTCTGCCACAAAAATGTCAGGATAATTGTGTCGTCACTACCATATGCCTGCCATTACTCTCTGCACACAATGTCGGGGAGCAAGTCACACTACACCAGGTCACATTAGATCACAGCTGGAGGTCATGTGAGGGCCGTCTTGGCACAGTGACCGAAACCGGTGACTTGTTTGGCCGCGTAAAACCAAAAGGGAAAGTTATCCCTGATTAGGCTTATGGCCTTGACCTTTGTTGACATTGATATGCTTGTAAGGCACGAAAACGTTTCGTGTACGCTATAAAGTTGTACGCCCCTCTTTACGAGTACCAGATAGCCGTATTGTTCTCATGTTTTCATGATTTTGAATGTGTTATGCGTGATATGCGAGGCCACCAATGACGTGACAACTGTCTGTTCAATGACTCCTTGGGTGAGACCGACCCCAACGACCTCTGTTTGTCCAAATGCTGCTCGCATTTGTCCAATCATAGGATGAAATAGCGCGAGGAGGCCTTCAATCCTGTCGTTTGCGGTCACGGGTGGCGGAATAACTCAGGCGGGCGTTGGGGTTGGCATGCGCTCGGGTGGCCGTTGAATACGACGCAGTCGGGTGGAGGGGTCGATTCCCCGTCCGATATACCTCACCTAAGAGAGCCCGGGGTACCAAATTCACGCAGTAGGTTGGGCTCTATAAGGTACGTAATGTAAAATTTGTATGCCTCTGGGTCGTGGCCGTCGAGTTAATTGAGGTCAAACAATGTGGGACTCCAAGGCAGTCTTGGTAGTGGCCTCAGACCTACTCACCCGAACAACTTGAATCTAGATATCTCCTCCAAGAAAAAGGTCGGACAATCTCATTGCATGTCAGTGGCCTCATCTCAACTTGAAAAATTCAAAGTGGCACGATAGTTTTTGAGAGCATTGTGGTAATTGAGTGTAACGTCACCGCCTCGGGCCTCTGCACATTACAAATTGATGCAGGCTAAACGTTCATCTACGTCATTTTAGGTCGGTAATCTTTCCTGACCATCAAGGCAGCATGAACGCTTCAGACTATAAGGCTTTAATGCATAAAGTTTTCACACATCAAGGACTCATCCCCAACCCAACGATCAGTGACTTAGTTCTTCTCCTAATTTTGAGTGTTTGATTGCTTAAGAAACCATTTCAAAGTTGCATGACTTCCTTTCAGGCTCCGTTGTCCTCACTGTTTGAAAGGTTTCCGAAGCTTTGACCCGTCACAGATCAGTGACTTTGCAATATTTATCTTATGTTACACCCAAGATCGGCTATTCGGTGTTCTACACCCAACTAAAGTTTGACGTCGCCTCTTCGTACCGCGCGGAACTTATTAAAAACAAAAACAAAAGGGGACGGTCACATTCATGCTCCCTCCGCACCCGGGCGAGCACGAGCACAAACATTGCGCTCCTGTACCGATCTCACTTCCGTCCTAACTAGAAAGGTCGTCCGCATTCTGAATGCCGCACGAAAGCCCTGCCAGCGCTGGGTGGGTCACGGAGCCCCGGGGCGGTGTTACGTCACCTGCAGCCGCGCCGAGTGTAGCCTATCACGAGCATCGCCCCCAACGGCGAGTCGCGGGTCACGCGAGGCCGGCGGGTGGGACATCCAGCCGCGCCACACCGGCTGACAGGGGTGAGACACTGACCCAGCCGCGCCGCACTAGCTGACAGGGGTGAGACACTGACCCAGCCGCGCCGCACTAGCTGACAGGGGTGAGACACTGACCTTGCCGTGTCACACCGGCTGACAGGGGTGAGACACTGACCCAGCCGTGTCACACCGGCTGACAGGGGTGAGACACTGACCCAGCCGCGCCGCGCTAGCTGACAGGGGTGAGACACTGATCTTGCCGTGTCACACCGGCTGACAGGGGTGAGGCGCTGACCCAGCCGCGCCGCACTAGCTGACAGGGGTGAGACACTGGCCCAGCCGTGTCACACCGGCTGACAGGGGTGAGACACTGACCCAGCCGTGCCGCACTAGCTGACAGGGGGGAGACACTGACCCAGCCGTGTCACACCGGCTGACAGGGGTGAGGCACTGACCCAGCCGTGCCGCACTAGCTGACAGGGGTGAGGCGCTGACCCAGCCATGTCGCACCGGCTGACAGGGGTGAGACACTGACCCAGCCGCGCCACTAGTGGGACCGCTGATGTGCTGTTGCGTTGCAACGATACATTTCGTTGGTCAAAACAACTGGACATATTTTGCCTTTGCCCCGTGCTGAGCAGGGCTCTGATGTCAAGCAATATCAAGTAAACATGAGACTCATCAACTAAAGCTCCAAAGCACCCGCTACGGAACGAAGCGAAAAAGAACGTGTTTGTATGCTATTTGGCTTCGTTGTAAACGTATCCCATCAGAATATGGTTTCTTTCCATTCGGTACTTTTATAACTTTATGGAGGGCACGCGTTTCATTGCATACCTCCCTGAAGGTGCGTGCTTCTGGAAAAAGCCGCAGAGGGTCTTTCGTAGTATTAAAGATCACCATGATGCGCCCAAACACAGGTGCAGTTACGCACCTGAAATTGAGGGGGGATCAGGATTGCGAAGATAAACCTGGAATCTGGGCGTACAATTGTCCTGCTCATATGATTCACTGGGCTTTAGAGCAGGCCCTTTTACCTGAATGCAATGTATTATGTTAAACTCTTGATATGGAATGAATATCTGTGTAGCTTATTTGCTCCAATGTCACATTTAAGGAAATGTTCCACATTTCATGTGATTTGATATGGAAGCAAGCATCAGATATGGTGACACCAGCTCAGATGTAACTAGTGGTATAATTTAAGTGGAAAAGACTGCTAGGACGACACAATTTCTCTGATCAGCAAACATGCTCGTCAATAAGTCGGTGTTTGATTATGTCACCGTACCAAACGCAATATTGATTGACAGCTAACTGAGGGTCATTATATCTAGAAATCGCGCTCACGAACACCAGATATGAACGACTTGACAGTTATATTTGACTTGACCTTGATCGTCGTATAGCCAATGAAATGCCTGGATTTGAACTGCGTTGTTATGGCGTCATTATTACCTCTTAGTGAGTACACCCATGTGCCCGAACGCACCACGCCACACCACGCACGTAAACGCTCCTTGCATTCTGCTGTATTTGACACCAATGTTAATCCATCTTCTTGTGGCGGGCTCTGGACAATCCCGCGAGCGGCCGTGCGGGCCGCCGTATTTATAATTATCATATCATTAATGCATTTTTATTCGCAACAATCGTGTGGCGCCACCCGCACCGCGTGTCCGCAACCGAAAGCAGGGCGATGTACATCGCATCAGCTGATCGCATCTCCTTCCACCGACGCGGCGGACAGGGGGGGGGGGGGGGGGGACACCTGCATCAGTGTCCAAGCGGTTAGTCACGGGTCAGGAGCTCTCTCCAGGGCGATCGGTAGCTTCGCGAGGACAGCCGGTGATCATCAGGCAGTAGACATGCGTCGGTCGTTCACTGCGTACCTCTCCGGGGGTCGCTCCACTGCTCGGCGTGGTTCTGGCTAGACGCCGGGCCAAAAGCTACACTGCACGATGCGAGCATGCATACTGGCCCGGTCAGTGATCTTCGGCGACAGGGTGCCCGACGGCACGGGGTCAGGCTGGGGCATAGGACTGTCCTGTGTTATGTGGACGTGCGTACTGCCTCCTTCCTTGATCCTGTAAGCCGATTCCCCAAATGGGATAAAGCGCAGCCCTGAATGCCCTCTGCCTACTCATTGTGAAATGCTTCTTGCGTCCTCGTAATGCGATTAAATCCATAATGATCTATGGAATCAGTCAAACAAATGTCGCGCTCACTTCAGGAGTGCGTCGGCCTTCACGTACCTTAAAAACTTTGATTAAGTGCGAAGTAACATGCATAGGTTCAGCCAAGATATATCAAGACCAATAGGATCACTCTCGGCCAGCCTCATTCTATACGCGAGGAGAGCAAGATGCGTCTTTCAAAGTGGTTGACAAAGAGGGGAATGCTACTGAGGACGTTACCCTCTTTGGAAAGAGCATTATTGCAGCACATCTTTGCGGAACTCCATGGCAGTCTTGGCTTCATACGACTTTTTGGGCCTAAGAGCACAGTAGTTAACTGCCACTGTTTCTCGGCTCTCCGATCGGTCCGCCAATCGTGATGATTCCATCCCGCACTGATTTCGCATTTATTCGGCCGCCGCTGCTGTGTCACCGCACCCATAGCGCCGTCTTCACCTGATGTGACCCCGCACCCACAGCGCCGTCTTCACCTGATGTGACCCCGCACCCACAGCGCCGTCTTCATCTGATGTGACCCCGCACCCACAGCGCTGTCTTCACCTGATGTGACCCCGCACCCACAGCGCCGTCTTGACCTGATGTGACCCCGCACCCACGGCGCCATCTTCACCTGATGTGATCCCGCACCCACAGCGCCGTCTTCACCTGATGTGACCCCGCACCCACAGCGCCGTCTTCATCTGATGTGACCCCGCACCCACAGCGCCGTCTTCACCTGATGTGACCCCGCACCCACAGCGCTGTCTTCACCTGATGTGATCCCGCACCCACAGCGCCGTCTTCACCTGACGTGACCCCGCACTCTCAGCGCCGTCTTGACCTGATGTGACCCCGCACCCACAGCGCCGTCTTCACCTGACGTGACCCCGCACCCTCAGCGCCGTCTTGACCTGATGTGACCCCGCACCCACAGCGCCGTCTTGACCCTGATGTGATCCCGCACCCACAGCGCCAGTCTTCACCTGATGTGACCCCGCGTGACCTGTGCTTCCAGACAAGGTTGACCCGAGAGACGCTCGCCGGGCGAAAACTGACCCGCTCTGGTGCAAGCGGTTTCTGTCGCACGGCGACCTCGACATGGACAAGGCTCTCAACTTCATGATCGACGCTGTCAAGTTTCGAAAGGAGATGTGTGCCAATGGTGAGTGATACGCTTTCTGCCGTGGTTGCGGTTGCAGTTTGGTGTATCTCAGGAGCTCCTGCCAGCTGCTCGAGTTTTATGAAAGTAACGCTGCTCATGGACTATTTGAAGACGTCATAATCCTAGCTGCAAGCCGATAGAAGGTAATACGACAATAGCTTCCTTTTTACCAATCTACAATGAAGTATGGTTGATATATCCGTTTCATGTTCAAATTGGCCATTGGGCGAAGCGTGTGGAACGATCCAACCATCGCAGCGTTGGATGCTTTCGTTTCTCCTCTGCGTTCTTGGCATTTTCGATCAGCTTTACCGCGCTTAGTATTTGCCCGTGTAGCACTGGAATGAAGGTGATCTACAAAAATAAAAACGCCACAAACATTTTAGATACATGTGACTTAGCGTCTTACGGAACCCGTGCAAATGGTGCCGTCTTGAGAGCTTGTTTGAGGTGCTACCGTTTTGCTGTTGCAACCTTCAGCTCGGCTCGACTCGGCATTGCATTCCGATAAATCCCACCCACGCTCCGCGCTACAGTCGGCGCTGCGGGGCGCGCGGATCGCCCGAGCCTGCTAGGAGCGCTGCCCGGATTAGCGGCAAACCATTACAAGGCCGCGTTTGCTGCACAACCTGCCCGGGCGAGGACCTGACCTGGAACAGAGTGAATGTGCTGCCTTGGGGACGGTTCAGCCTGCACTCACCGCCAGACCAAGCCTGGAATCATCCGTGGATAATAGGAAGGCTGGGTTCTGGCATCTGGGTCTCGAAGTTGAACGTGCCGTACTAAACAATGAAGTATGGCATATGCGGCAGCGTCCACGCTAGCCTGCACCGAGGTAGCCGCTACGGCCGTCATCCGGAGGAATGCGAACGTGTCAGTGTGCGCAATGACCTGGAACAACCACTGCGGGTTGGACGAACAGTTCACAGCGCATCGCATGGTTGGGTGTGGCTCTGGGACCACATCAAGAAGACCCCGCGCGCCAAGGATGGGCTTGCCACTCCATCCAGCGGTTGCGTGCCCCAAGCCATGAATTGAATATCCGAGAAATGGACGCAGTGAAGTAAGGCGCCTTTTGCGGCGTGGCGCCAGCGAGGTGATGACAAACGGGATTATTATCACCGTGTGGAGATAGCAAAACGTAGGCGAATGGAGCCCGTTGTCTGTGGGAAGCCATGCAAACAAGACTTATTGACACGGCACGGGGCCGGTCGAATGTGTCAGGGTGGGGGAGGGGTGAGTAGGGTGATTTGACACCCCAAAATATTAAAACTAATAGAGCTAGAGACACCAAATCCACAGAGAAGGTAGGCCTGTGTGAGAAGTCCCTTGTGTCACATTCAAGCCATGACCTTCGGGTCAGCTGAGATCCAACAAGGTTAATTCAGATCGGTGCTCCAACTGCCTCAAGCCTCCGCATGTCACCGCCTTTACCTTAAATGCCGTTTCTTAGGGAACGGTCACTGGCATTCAGCTCAGGCCAGTAACCTACTTTGACCTATGGAATGTTATGGTGACCAGAACCTTACTACATTTTTTTTATTTTTAATCGACATGAGCAAGAAGAATCAGGTTGAGCGGTACATTTTTTAAACAGAATGCTGTTTGCGTCATTTTAGGTCAGTGGGCTACTCCAACACTAAGAAATTTTATATTAGACGGCTGTTGACACCCCTGGAATAAAAATATAGAAATAAGCATAAAAAACTGCCAAATGTAGCAAGTTTTTGGTCGAGAACGCAGTTGACTTTGACTTCATTCTAGTATTCGTACCTGACCCAGAGTCAATGAAATTAGTCGTAATCCTAAATTCAATGGTATCGTTGTCTAAGAAACTATCTCAAAGATGCATTGCACTGCCTACCATAACGTTGTCGCACGAGATCGAACGACTCCCCATGAGTTGTCTTTGCGGGTAGCTATATCCTGTTGTTGGATTTCCGTAAGTCAGCGGCATTACAGGACACATCTAATTTCTAGCACCAAGAGATCCGCTATTTAATTCCTCACAGCTATGCAAAATTTGGTGCGACTACGCTTTTCCGGGCGGAAATTATTCTGGAAAACTTCCGGTGGTGAAATTCAGTATGTTATTCATTAAGGCATTGGGTTTGTGTGAGATTTTCTTTGCTCATCATTTTTTTTCATCACACGGTGCTTTGGCGTACACCAATTAGCATGTCGGTGCATGTAGTGACTGTGTGTAGAAAGTCCGTCGAAAAGCATAACCGGCAGGACCGAACCAGACAGGGCCACTGAGACAATAAAGTCTATAAATAGGTGACACTAGCAACCACTCGGCTTGCGGCATCGTTCGTAATTTTGTAGCCTTGAGTCTTGAGCTCCGATCTGGTTCTGGTGTGCGAATGTGTTTTCCCACGTATGCGTTGCGCTCAGAGATATGCAGCTTCAGTGCATGTAGATGTCGTGTATTGCGTAAAGCGCTGACAAGCAGGAGTATGTTCTGCGGGCGCTACGTTGCCGATGAATACGGGAGAGCCACCGTGAGCTTTGCTTTATCCGTGGGTTATGCTGAGTTACCATTTCCAATGCACAAATGCATGTTTAAAAGGAGCACAACTTGTATTCATGAGTCAAATCACTCATATGACAGATGAAGTGATCATCGCACATAGTTAAAGATACCGTCATACGTGCACATAGCTAAAGGCAACGTCATACATATCTAAAAGAACCGTAGAACTTGGCCTTTTCTGATGGAGAGTACGTCGCAGTATGTTTGACATTCACTGTGATTGTTTAGACATATATTGGCTGACATGCAGTTCCCTTTCGGCGCGCGACGGCCGTATTCCTGACTCATACACGGCACGATGCCGTGCGGCATTCCCTTTGCTGTCTTACATGATCTGCCTTTATTGCATACGCGGTCTTCAGGTCCTAGCTGTCGACGGCTTGCTGCTGTCCTCTTACCCGTCCTCTTCGCCGGCAGACATTTCTCTCGACACGGTGGACAACACGCTCTTCAGCAAGGGTGTCATGTGCACCCATGGACAGGACAAGAAGGGATGTAGGATCGCCATCTTTAACGCCCGGTTCCACGAGAGGGTGTCAGGAGCGAGGTTTGAGGATGTGAAGAAGTTCCTGGTGTTCTGGATTGAGAAGGTGGATAGGTGAGAATCGTAAGCATTAGGTAGTTGCATTTGGAGTGCTTGCAAGGGCTGCATCTACATCTACACCGGCTGGAATTGCTCATTTGAAAGAACAACGGGTTTTTCACTTCGTTTAGTCCAATATGTGGTCATTACAATGCCTAAAAAGTTTGAAGTCTTCTTGCTGAAGGTAAGTCTAAACACAAATGTCCGCAGGGGCGAAGTTGTCTGTTCAAGGAGGCAATAAAGTATGATAAAAAACATGTCTCATGTTGCCATGTTATATGAGAAACAGGTAAAGTATGTTGTGGTGAAAAAGCTGACAATGTTTTTTGTTGATAGCGTTTTTCTTTTGGGAATGAGTAGGCAGCAATGGGGTACTTTCCGTTGTTTTGGCCTCAGGCTATTCTCGTTCAGTGTTACCATTTTTTCAGACTTCTTTCGTTCATTGTTATTGTTTCTTAACTCCAGACTTTAAACTCATGTCATTTTCGTTCAATGCCTTGGTTTTTTAAAGCTCAGGCTTTTTTTCTTTCTTATACAGTTCCGCTAACTCACTAACGTATTTAATACCTGGCTATAACCAGAACACGTAGGCAATGTTTGCGTTGTCCAGAGGCTGTTCGCCTGGTTCGACGTACTTCGCCAGTAAAAGGAAATTTCTTTATTTAAAATATTGAGCACTTTTGGGAAGCAGAACTCTTTTTAGAAGTGTGGAGTGCGTGAAATCGGTTGTTTTTTTGCGGTGGGTTTTGGGTAATGCACCCCGTAACGGTTTGGTCATGTGTATGACAAAAATATTATCATGAAATTAGTTTTCGGCCGTTAGATTGTCTCGCACAATCTTTGAAATGACATGAATTCCCAACAGGTGTTTCCAAAATATCTACGATAGCCCTCGTCGAATTACCACGCCCCTCGTGTACGGCGCCACCTTTAAGTGTTTGAAAAGGAGTTATGGCGTCAAGAACAGTTTTCAAGTTAAAATTTGCTATTTCCATGGCTTTTTAGCGTTTCAGTACGTCTGTTGTTTTGTTATTTGAATTCCTCAAATGGGAGAAGCCGCGAGTGTATCTTAAATGAGCACGTATTCATTCACTCCCTGCAACCCAAACGGGACACATGAGATTCAGCTTTGGGGAATATCGTTGCTTGTTTATTGCTTATTGTTGATTGTGTATGGTTTATTTGGTTTATTTAGGGCGTAACAGTTCACAGTCAAAAGTCTAATTCCGGAAGCAGTCCGGTTTTAAAAACAATAAAAATACGATGCACATACAAACTAAAAAACTTACCACACACGCATACACATTACACACAGACACACATACGCCTTACGCACTCAGACACAACGGTCGTTAAAGGAGCGCACGACGAGAACGGGCAAACCTAAGCAAATAAGACTGGAATGGTTTTGTCTGCTGGAAAAAGGACGGTTTGGGGAGAATGCTGAAGAAAACAGTTGCTGATAAGTGGTAGATGTGCGGCAAACCAATTCTTAACGGCCTTTACCCTGCAAATGGTTAGTGAAAAAGATTGGTTTGCCGGGAGCACCGGGTGGGTGTAGCCAGACCGAACAGGTCTGGTAACTGGTACTCATATCTGGTAACTGCAGTCAAACCTCTGATGATATACGTTTTAAAGAAACGATGTGTCAGACTGAGCAAAGCGCGCCGTGATAGATGCCGTGATGAGAAACGGCAACACCGTTCCAAATACCGCCATCGTACTCCATTAATTATCTTACATAAGCGTTGAAAGCACACATTAAAGCTTTATGATTAAGCCTCTCTTGACAAGGACACTGCGGCATTTTCACGCCCTGCATGAGAAGGCCCAGAATCCTGTGTGCTTTTGAGACATCCATCTAGGTGGTCGGTAAAGGTGTGTTGGATATCCAGGAGAACGCCAAGATCGCAAATCTGCTGGTAGCTATCCAAGCGGTGACCGTCTAGTGCATATGAATGGCGAACAGGTGATGTAAGGAGGGTGAATGAGGTGGTTTTGCACTCAGCTGGGCTCGGTTTCAATCCCCAGTTTTTGGACCATTCACGGAGGCGACCCAAATCCGCCTGCAGTGCGGGGCAATCTGCTATTCCGTGATCATGTAAGGACGGTGCATGGCTGCTCTGGTTTGCTAGCCTTGAAAACACCCAATATTCGTTCTGTTGACGCCATAGCCGTTTTTGAGTACACTACAAAGGAACATTGAACACGGGGTGCATGGTGCGTCGCGCAGAGTTGTCACGAATGTACCAGACATATGTGGTGGGGATTCATTTCAGTTACATGCTGGTGGCGTCCAGTGCACCATGTGAATCATCTAGAAAGCATGGTCTCACGGCTAAACTAAAGAATTCGCCCACGCTCCCAAGCAGCCTTGACAGCGACACCATAAGCTATTTTGATAGCAAAATTTGTGCATGGCTGAACTATGACCAGGGACATTTTCCAAAGTCCAACTTACCTACACACGTCACTTTACACACCATATGCTTTAAAGTGAGGCTCATTTTATTTCGGAAAAAGCTCTATGACTGAGTTTGTATTCATTAAAGCTGAAGGAAATCCGCTCAGGTCTCAAAAAATTATGCCCCACTTTTTTACGACAACCCATGCGTAGTCTATTTTGTGAGCAATTTTGCAGCGGTTTGGGGCCATTTCGTCTGGTGTCGTTAGATACCGAAGCAATCACACTACCGTTCAAAGAAAGGCGACCAGCGTGGACTTCTCCTGTTTACGCTCGTAAACCAATCAAAAACTGTATATGTCACTGGGTGTTTCATGATGTGTCATTTAATGTACGTCCCGGAGGTCTAGCACACGATACACATCGGTATGTAGGTTCAAATACGCAACGCCTCCCTGCAATGTTTTCGTGACGTTTTTGAAGAACAAATTTTACCAGCCATATTTCAACGCAATAAATACTGCTCATAAAGATCACGATAAGACATGCGGCCGTGTGCACAAACAAATTGCAGAATGACTTCGGATTGTGTTTCGACGGTGGCAAACAAGGGTGTAGGTTTATGAGCAACGCTTACATCTGCATGCTACGGTCATCATCGTCGCAACTCCTTGCGTCAGTTATCTTAAACGGTCCAGTGAAACGCTTCGTTAAGTAACGGATTCGGCACCGAGCATTCTCACCCCAGGCTCGGTGCGTTACCCCCCCCCCCCCCCGCCCCGCCTTCTTAGAAGTGTTCCCCACTTGACCTCACCCCGCCCGCAGATCGGCCTCACGCTGCAGCCGTGAGTTGCATTGTAAAAGCCCTGCACTTGGCACGTGCTTCATAGGTGATTGGGTTACTGCGTGTGATAGAGGTTATGGCAGCTGCTAAAGCGGATAAATCAGTCTCGACTGTGACTCACCTAAATTTGCCGAAGGTACCGCCTTGCTCGACATGGAAGTAGTTGGTTTTGGGATCGCTTCCGTCTGTCCGAGGTTGGCACAAGGCCGCCCTGCACTTGACCCTGCCCGGATTCGGGATCAAGTTAGCTCCGTATTCAACTTGACGGGATTCCCGAGGCGCGTTTAAACCTCGTCGCTCTGTCCATCCGAGCTCTGTGGGTAGAACTGATAATGCAGCCTCGCGCTAAGCGCAATCGACTCTGACTAGACGAGCCTTATCAGCCAGCACTTGAAGCTTCACCTCACTAATGCGCGCAACAAATGTGTGCCAAGCGTCCTTTAGATGCGAGTCCTCGTGTCGGCTCCGATCGTCTCAGATGACTGCCGCAGATATTCAGGGCACTTCTTTTAGGTGACGCGGTTCGAATGTGTCCCGCGCCTTTTGCAGAGGGCATTCGCCATTTGGCCTATATCTGCGGGTTAAAACGCATCCTGACGTCGGCCCGCCCTTGGTGCGGGGGTGTCAAACCGAGGCTAAGCTCGCCACCCGTGACGTCGCCCCCCCCCCCCCCCCCCCAGCTGGCTTCCCAGGCGAGGCGATAAGGACGCGGGATACCGGAACTGATACTGGCCGCGGGGCCCTGACCTTTGCGGGGAGGCCTCCGTAGGCAAACAGAGCGTTACGTGCTGCCCTCTCGGCGAAGGGCTGTCCAAAATTTGGTCCGACGGAACGCCTAAACTGACAGACATATAGACATAAAGACATCAGGCCAACAAAGAGCCACAAGGGCCCATCGAAGTCGGCCTACCACAAGATCTGCACCAAGCCTTGACACTAATGTTACCACCTGACCTGCCTGAATGTTGCTATAAATGAGATCCTTAGACCAATAGAGCTCGTCCAAGCGGTTTTTAAATGCTGCTAGGCAGTGATTTCCTACAACTTCGTTAGGCAGTCCATTCCAATGGTTCACTGTTATTTGACGAAATGGCATCTGCCTCTTCATATTTCTACTCCTACCTTTTGCTAACTGAAACTGGTTTCCTCTAAGTCTCGGCCTAATTTCCAGCGCTCCTTGTGGATCTACCTTGTCTATCCTTTTCAGAATTTTGAATACCTCTATCAGATCCCCTCTAAGTCTACGATGTTTTATTGAATACAAATCGAAGATCTTAAGCCTTTGATTACATTCCAAGCTGCCAATCCCATTTATCATCCTAGTTACTTTTTGCTGTACTCTCTGTAGCCTGTCTATATATTTTTGAAAGCATGGGGACCAAGCCTGTTCACAATTCTCTATGTGCGATCTGACATAAGCTAAGTACAACTTTTTGGCAGCATTCCTACTTTTTTAATAGGCATTCCTGGTAATAAGTCCCAGTATCCGAAGAGCCTTGCTCCTAGATGCCCCACATTGCTTTTAAGCCTTTAAATCCCTGGAAATTGTATTCTCATAAGTCCTTTTCGTCCTTGATCTGGTCCGTCTCTCGGCCTCACATGCTAGCTAATGCACTCACCGCCAGAATTACCTACATGCATCATCTTACACTTGTCGTAACTAAATAACATCTGCCGCAGGGAAGCCCATTTCACAAGTTTCCTCTAAGTTCAGTTTTATCTGGTTTGCATTTTTTGACAACGCTGCCAGTTTAACGTTGTCAGCCAATTTAAACACCTCACTTTTTAATCCAACCTCAGTATCATTCACAAAAATCAGTAAGAGCAAACGGCCCAACACCGACTCCTGTGAAACTGCATCCCTCCAGCTCTCCCCAAGCTTTAAAGAAAAGTAGGTCAAGTTCGGAACGAAGCCCGTTTTTGACGAGTTTTGGGGGTAAGGCTCTTAATTTATGACGGTTCGGCTCCCTCGCTTTTTCCGAAACTTTGCCCCTGAATACGATTTGGTGTTTTCGCTTTAACTGGGTCACTATAATAGACAGCTCCCCAGGTTTCATGTGGCATCGGTCCCTGATTAGCAATGCGACACGGAGTATAGGCAATGATATATCTTTCACTCGAAATTGAATGGGACAGATGATCACGAACGGCAGCAGAGTTTCTTTTCACTGCGCTGGGTCGCTTCGCAGGGAGGAGAAGGGGAAGCGGATCAGCCTGTTCTTCGACATGGGGAATGCCGGCATGTCGAACGTCGACATTCCGTTCATTTCGTACCTGGTCAACCTATTTAAGTTCTACTACCCGGACATGCTGAACAACATCATGGTGTTCGAGCTTCCCTTCATCATGACTGGTGAGTTCCGGTGTTCAGATGTGCTGGGGCCCTGCAGCGCGATGCGTGTGAAGTCCCGCGTTCAGATGTGCTGGGGTCCTGTAGCGTGATGCGTGTGAAGTCCGGCGTCCAGATGTGCTTGGGCCCTATAGCTTGATGCGCGTGAGTTCTGACGTTCAGATGTGCTGGGGCCCTGTATCGTGATGCGCGTGGGGTCCGGCATTCAGATGTGCTGGGGCCCTGCAACGTGATGTGCGTGAGGTGCGACGTTCAGATGTGCTGGGACCCTGTATCGTGATGCGTGTGAGATCCAACGTTCAGATGTGCTGGGGCCCTGTAGCGCGACGCGCATGAGATCCGACGTCCAGATGTGCTGCGGCCCTGTAGCGTGACGCGTGTTTTGTGGGACGACGAGAAAGAAATCTCGCCGGTGATCTGTACATCGAGGGCCTCAAATTGTTGGCTATTGATAAGCTAACTGAAGAAAATCGTTGGCCAAGAGGCTAGAAATCATACCCGAAGAGAGCTACAATATGTCGCTGGTTAACGCCAAGGTCTGTGTGATGCAATGTGTGTCAGTGACAAGCGCCAGTGTACGATGAACGATGAACAGTGTACGATGTACGGTCACGGTCATAATGCTTCCATCCTTATTAGAGGCAAATGCAATGGGTGAAGTCTTTGTTTTAAGAATGACGACCTAATTGCACGTTTTACCTAGAATGACTGCCATGTTGCGTGGGCCACCGCCCGTGTGCATGTCACTCTACCCGCGTGCACTACCCGCGTGCACGTCCCTCCCGGCCCGCGTGCATGTCCCTCTCGGCCCGCGTGCATGCCCCTCTCTGCTTTATCCATATCTATCTATTTTGCATGTTTTTTCTTCAATCCGGACGCTTCCGTCTGAATTTGAGTCCTCGAATATGTCAAGATGCTCCGGAGAATATCTTCGCTCTCCTGAGGTGGGGTGTTTGGACATCATATTTCGTGACTGAGACTGTCACGGGTGACACCGAGAATGGCGTCGAGCTCTCCACGCCTCCCTCACGCGTGCTCCATCCACAGCCGCCTGGAAAATCGTCAAAAACATGCTGCCTGCGAAGTCCCACCAGCTGATCAAATTCGTCTCGAAGAAGGACGCGAACACGCTGGTGCCGGCCGAGTGCTTGCTAACGCGCTGGGGCGGCGAGGACAGCTGGGCGTACTCCTTCGACCCCGAGGAGTGCGCCATGCCGCCGCTCCCCTTCCTCGGGGCTCAGGCGACCGGCGCCGAGGACAAGCCCAAGGTCAACGGGGTCGCCAACGGTCACGCCGGCGGGAAGATGGCTAACGGGCACGTGCGCAGCAGTCAGAAGTCGTCTCAAGGTCACGATAGCGCCGCCAAGTATCTCAGCGTGAAAGATCCGCCGAGCTCTCCAGAGTCGGGGCACAAGGTCAGGCAGTAGAACCAAGGTCAAGGTCAGGTAGCTTGTTTCGGAGGGATGTTTCGCAAGCTGTGGGCTGGATGGAACAGGTGGGTGGTTGAGTCATTGTAACAATAAGTAAAGGTGTCTGGGTGCGATGTAAAGGTAACACAATCTGTTATGCCGCTGACTGAGGTAGGTGCTGTTGCATTTCGCGCGATCTTAAGCAACGGCTCTGTCATCGCTATCGTAGTCTTACATACTACATGTATTCAGTGCTATGGAACTGTAGGGGCTTTGCGACACACTCCCTTCCTAACTTCCCAGTTGTGGGTGCTACGGTTTTAAGTTTCTTAATGAAACAATGGACATGGCTAACGGCTAGGGTGTTTTCCAGACGTGGAGGTTAAAGCTACACGAATTTGTGGTTCTGATGTGGGGCACGTAAACCAGATAGCTATACAATATAAACCATATATATATATATATATATATATATATATATATATATATATATATATATATATATCCCCTCTCCTCAGACTTCCCTCCTTCCCCTCCAGTTGCATTTATATAATTATCTAAAACGTGAAAATCGTAAGTGCTGCAAATGCCCTAGGGCATCGAGTAAAAGACCAATGGTTTTGCTACTAGAAGAGACGTATGTAGTTAATCCGACTTGCAGCGATTTGTGTCAGTCGTGTGACAATGTCATCCAGCCGTGCCAGCCGCCATGTTTGTTAGCCATGTTAAGTGATAAGCATCTTGACAGACGCAGCACGGAGCTTCCAAAACAGATAAAAGGCCTGTTAACTAAACATTGGTCCACGGCAGAAACCAAACTATTTTGATTTTGTCGCACGGCGTTGGCAGGTGCGCTTCCCTGACGACGTCAGCACAAACAGTGACGAGCTGTCCGACTCAAAACTGCAGGAAGATAGCTCAACGGCCGAGCTAGGTAAGGCGTAGATCGCAACCCGCCGTCGAAGTTGCGTTACGGTGTTTTCAATGAGGCAAGCCCAAAACTCTGCTGCTCCCACACGAATGAATGGCTGTTCATCCTCGACGCGGTCAGTGCGGGAATAAAAGCTCGCTATGGAAGTCCCTGTTAGTTGGGCTGGGGCCCTCTTCAATGTCGCATCGGTTTGGCCCGCGAAGGTGTAACGAGCATCAGTAGTTGGCCGGGGGTGATAAGCCTCGCACGCACAAACCGTTATGATCATTCCCCGCCCGCCAACGTTCACGAAGGTCGCCCGAAAGCCGCCCGTTCGAGCAATGTGAAACGTGAAGAAGGTGCATGAATGTTTCTCGATGAAGCCGAACAAACACGCGCATGACTGCTAGCATGCGCCTGTAAATTTCACAAAAGGCGTAGTTCGTGCTGTCACTAGACAGCACAAATTATGTCTTTTTGAAATTTACAGGCCGTTTTTAGAAGCACCCAACTATTTCCATTTTCCTGCTAACCGACCAGAGTTAGGCACTGCACCATTGCCATGGTATGGCGTGTTCCAGGGAAACTGCTGGAAGTAACGCCAGGCGAACAGCTGTGGTTTGGATCATCCAAGACCAAGCAGACGATAACGCTGAGCAACATCCGAAGAGCTGGAGTCGCCTTTAAGGTAAGCGATGACGTCACACGATACAAAAAGCCTATCTGAACCCTCTTGTCTCTAGATTCTGTTGGCAACCATCGCCGCGATCGCGAGCTTGATATCAGTTGTGCTTGTCAAACAGTACGCGATAATAAAACAATGCGCATCAGTGGCAATCTTTTGGCCTAGCTCACATTGATGCAATCTTCTCACAAATAACAAATCCTAAAATTGTCAGCACCTATAAATCTGATCCATATGAATCAAGCGGTAAATGCGCTAAAGGTGCTGAAAAGTTACACGCTGATTTCGTAATGGGTCGTACATCCATGCATAGCCCACCTTAGACTCAGCGCTGTTTTTCTACTCCTGTGGCGTCATCGGAGAACTGACCGGAACACGACCACCCGTACTGCCCCTCGTCAGGATTCCCCCAGCTACCAACAGACCGACATCCACAGTCCCCTCCTCTGCGGCTCATCAGGCGATGGCCTCTGCCTGGGGAACAACACGCTGCCGAGTACCCAACCGGCTGTCATCATACGTCCAACCGTTCCCTTCCAAAGCGCCTGAGGCTGGTCCCACCCGCCGATAAGCCCCCGCTGCTGGCCCCTTCCTCTGCGCTGACTCGCCGCCCGCGCCTGCGCCCAGGTGAAGACCACGTCTCCGGACAAGTTCCGCGTGCGTCCCAGCAGCGGGGTGGTACCCACCGGGCGGCGCGTGGTGGTGGAGCTGGAGCTGTGTGACGGCGTCACACCGCAGCACGTCGTCACGGACCGCTTCCTCATCCTGGCGGCCGGCGTACCGCACGAGCGCGTGCCTGCCCGCGACATGGGACGCCTCTGGAGGGTGAGACGGGGTTCACCTCTGAGGGGTGAGGCAGGGGCCACCTCTGTGAGGTGAGGCAGTGGTCTTTTCAGGGAAAGTGGGCCTTAAGAGAGTGAGACAGAGGTACGCGCCAGCAGCCATCTTTTGACCCAGTTCACACTGATGCAATCTACTCACAAATTACAAATCCTGAAGTAGTCACTGCCGATATATCTGATGAATCAAACGGTAAATGCGTTATATGTGCTGAGGTAGGTAAGCAAGTGATTCAAGTTCACGCTTTCGTCGGCGGGACACACAAAGTCCCCACTTCACCGCCTCAGCCCGCTCTTCCCTCCCCGCCGCAGAGCCTGCCCAGCGGAGACAAGCTGGAGCACTGCCTGCGCTGCGCGGCCGCGCCCGCGCTCAACGACCCGCTGATGGCGCTGGTGCGCGGCCTCGGCACCCGGCTGGAGGCCGTCAGCCAGCGGCTGGAGAAGCAGCAGCAGCTGGCTACAGAGACGGAGCAGCAGTACGCCAAGACGCGCCGCCGGCTGGGCGTGGCGCTGGCGCTCATCGCCGCCACAGCCGTCGCCAACCTGTGTCTGGCGCTCACCGTGACCAGGTGTAAGCAGCCTGTTTTGAGCTTCTTGTTGTAAGATGTGAGCCAGTTGCCTGACCCTTGTAAGGCAGCTGAGTTTGGCCTGCGTGTTTTACTTGAAATTGACAACCAATGCGTCCAAGTGAATGATCCATTTACCCTTCGGATGTATGATTCAGACTCATGCCTATAAAAGGCAGTTGTACTTAAACGTACTGAAGCGTGCCCTGTACTCAAATGTCCAGGAAAGACCAGGTGTACATCCTTTCCCTACTGTGGCGAACTATTCAGATATATCAACCGTGAAATAGGTTTGAATCTTTTCGCCGAACTGTGCGCATTGTCTGAAGGTGTAACCAATGTCCCTGGCATCGTGGATAGTAACATTGAATGCAGTCAACACCTCGCGAACCGAACTATGGAAGAAAAATGTGAAAATTATCTGCCCCATAGCACCTTCGATCGACCAGCTTGCACACTAGAGTGCAAAAAAACGGTTTGCGCAAGGCATTTTGTCACTGCGGGTAGCCAGAATTGTGTCCGCGTTACAGACAGCACTGACCAGCCCCTCCCTGCACCACCACGCAGCTTTCAGACACCGGCATGATTCCAGGTTGAACTCCTTGGCCGTCACTGTTGGCCAGCAAGCGGTGAGAAGGCCGCCGCGGGAGCGAGCCAATCCAGACGAACCATGTGGGTTGGTCGCCACACCGGCAACCCACGCTCCGAATGTCGTCGAAGGCAGGCCAATCCACCAGTCGACGCCGTGAAGCCGTTCTTACCTCAGAAATGTTACCCCGGGCTGTGGTCGGTCCAAGAGAAACCAAAGGGCAGAGCTGGCGTGCAATCAAACATAGGATAGCAAGTCAGAAGTCTGTGGGAGCATCTGCTTTTTGGTAGCGGAGGCCGCGCTCCCGTCTGGCGCAGGCTGGTTGGGCTACCAGTGTCACGAGTGCCAGAGCACGTACTCTGACCGGTGGTGTGCGTGCTTCCAAGTGTTCAGCTCAGACATTTAGCTGCTGATCACACGCGTGTGTGACATCAGATCTTAAGGTGCCAGCTGTCGTCGTCAGGAAGTTCAACGTGTTGGCTGGCCGTTAGTGACGTCTTTGATCGTACCGATGGAGTGGCGGCTCGGGAGAAAGCCAACAAATATATGAATCATACAAGCCTCGCAGTCTTACGAATATATTTCGCAATGCGATTCCCATGGGCTTGAATCGCACACAGTCGATTTACAGATCCATCGGTAGTCAACGGCTGTAGAGGGAGCGGAGGTACTCATTAAAAAAGACGCACGAGGAATAACCCGCAGACCAAACCGCAGAGCCATTTATGCTGCGAGATCCTCACCAAACACACCATGGCCCATCCGGTCGAGCATATCCAGACCTACATTCTACTGTGTGGAATCCAAGCACATGCTTTGAGCCGCTGTGACCTATGTTTCTCCCCTTCATCTGATAATGGTGCCCCTCTCCGTTAGCCATAGCTGGTACAGCATCACCAGTTGCAGGGCCTGGTGGGAACTGTAAATCCTTTGTTCCGGTTACACCAATAACAGGACCAGACGTGCGTGCAGTAGCTGGGGCATGGTACGCAACACGGACTAGATTATACATGTGTACAAAACACTGACTTGGGGAACAACCAACGCATCAACAAGCATGTAAATTAGATTGGAGTACGTCGCTGAAAGCTTATTAACGCCATGGTTGGGCCGTAGCAGCCATGTGGTGAAATCATAACATTGAAGCCACGGACAAAGCATTGCGACAGGAAGCTCCGTTATGAATCCAACTGCATGGATAAGACACGCCCGCCGCGTGTGATTACGATCATCGAGTCTCAACTCAGACGTTTCACAAGCACCGACCACCGCACGTTTCTGCCCCGCGCGCACCATGTTCGTCACACCAGCACATGACAGCGCCACCTACAACAACCATCGTACTTGCCATTGTCCCACCCAGTGCACGTGCCAGACTTCGCAAGAATGCGTTCGGGTTCGTATCACAGCACGTTGCTTCGCCGCCCTTAACGCGGGCCAACGGATCACGACAGCCATACACCAGGTCAGTGCGGTGAAGGGCGATATCGGTACACATCAGCTGGCAGGTCACGGTGATAGGCCATCGGCTGGCGGCAGTACCCGGGCCAGGGTGACCTGACGCTGTTAGCTAAGCTGTACTCGAGGCACGCCAGCATACCAGCCGACTGAGCTGGCACTGCGTGCGGTGGCCTTACGCCTGGTGGCCAAGCAGTACACAGCTGACGACCCCTCGTCCTCAGGACAGAGCACAGCTCCAGACGACCCCGCGTCCTCAGGACAGAGCACAGCTCCTGACGACCCCGCGCCCTCAGGACAGAGCACAGCTCCTGACGACACCGCGTCCTCAGGACAGAGCACAGCTCCTGACGACCCCGCGCCCTCAGAACAGTGCACAGCTTCCAACGACCCGCACTCTCCGCTAACCCGACCCAGCTCCACACGACCGGCGACGGCGGCCGAGCGCATCCTCAGAGGGGCGTCGGCCGCGGCTCGGCGGCCGCCGTGCAGCACAGCGACTCGTCCGCCTCCTCCGCCGGCTCGACGTCGCCCGCCAGCACGGCGTCCACGGGCTGCTCGCCCCGCCGACGGGGCCCTGGCGGCGGAGAGGGCCGGAGCGAGTCAGGCTCCACCCGGCTCGCCGAAGAGACGACCGCGCCCCTACCGATGGCCAACCGGGCGTAAAAAGAGAACGAATACGCAGGCAGACGGGTAGCAGAGGCCCCCATCCCCCCTTTCGACAGACTGGGCGGCGAAGGCTCAGCTCGTTTTGCGCAAAGCTGCAGTGCCCAGCTGAAGTTTTTTTAGCGATTGTAGTTACTTCAGCCATTATAAGCCCGCACCTATCAATATGTAGCATCACTTCGTGACATATCCGACGTCACCAGAACCAAAGGTTTATTCCAACAAAAAGGCAGCGTTAACTAAATCCTGATAACCAGCGAATTTGTGACGCGGCTGCCCATCCGAGCCATGCCTTTCAAGTGACAAGTCAGCACCACAGCTCGAGGCGCGGACATTCACGCGGTGCTACGAGGCACCCATACCACGGCTGCTTGAAATATGCCGCTCCCGCACCATTGGGAAGGAGAGGGGCACGCGACACCGGCACTGACATGCCAGAGTGGTCATAAACTTCATCCGAACCGGGACACCGGCAGCCGAAGCATAGACTAGCACTGACGTGGACATGCGTAGACTCACACCTGAAGCATAGACTAGCACTGACGCAGGAAGACGCAGACTCACGCATGTGCACCTGGCCTGTGCTCTGCCCCCCAGCCCTGGCCAGAAACCATGCCCTTCGTCGCTTACAACGCGCCACGCTCTCACTCCAAACATCATGCCTCCAGCGTTCCCCGCGTTCGCATGCTCCGCCCTCCATGCCCGACCCCATGCCTCCAGCGTTCCACGCGTTCGCATGCTCCGCCCTTCACGCCCGACCCCATGCCTCACAATCCGCTGCTGTGCCCGGCGTCCCGTCCTCCACCGCTGTGCCCGGCATCCCGTCCTCCACCGCTGTCCCCGGCGCCCCGTGCTCGCCCCTGTCCCCAGCGTTCCGTCCTCCACCGCTGTGCCCGGCATCTCGTCCTCCACCGCTGTCCCCGGCGCCCCGTGCTTGCCCCTGTCCCCGGCGCCCCGTCCTCCACCGCTGGCCCGGCCACTCACTGCCGAGCCAGACGGTCAGGCGGTCGGCCAGGGCGGCTCGCAGCCGCGAGAAGGCACCTGCTTGGGACGAGGCGGTTCCGACTGGCCTGGACGGAGAGGTCGGCGTCTCGGCGGTGGCCCCGTCCGCCGGGCCGCGTCGGCCCGCGTTCACCATCCGACCGCCCACGTAACCTGCCGACAGAGGGCGGATCGTCCGGCCACGTAACCTGCTGACAGAGGGCGGAAAGTCCGGCCACGTAACCTGCCGACAGAGGGCGGACCGTCCAGCCACGTAACCTGCCGACAGAGGGCGGACTGTCCGGCCACGTAACCTGCCGGCAGAGGGCGGACCGTCCGGCCACGTAACCTGCCGGCAGAGTGCGGACCGTCCGGCCACGTAACCTGCCGACAGAGGGCGGACCGACCGCCCACGTAACCTGCCGACAGAGGGCGGACCGTCCAGCCACGTAACCTGCCGACAGAGGGCGGACCGTCCGGCCACGTAACCTGGCGACAGAAGGCGGACCGTCCAGCCACGTCACCTGCCGACAGAGGGCGAACCGTCCGGCCACGTGACCTGCCGGCAGAAGGCCGACTCTGCAGGCATGACATGCTACACCGTGACCCGTGCCATCAGATGATGCCATTATAACAAGGGCATAGCTATAGTAAATCAGCTCTGACGCCTTAGGCACCCTTCGGAAGTCGATAACAGCCGCCTCGGTAGATCGCCGAGCGCCACCAGCCCAGGCACAGCCTCGCACACAGCTCCGCCGCGAGCCAAAAAAATAAATCGACGACCAACCACGAGACGAGTACTGACCGAGCACGCCGCCGCCGACGGCGGCCAGGCCTCCGACCTTGGCGCCGAGCAGCAGGCCCACCGGGCCGGCCACGATCCCGCCAATCAGCGCGCCGGCCACCGGAGCCACGCCCCCGCTGAGCCGGGCGGCCAGCGCCAGCTGACGCGCGCCCTCGGCCACGTTCACCTGCGCCTCCTCCACGTGCGTCTCCACGGTGTTCACAGGCTCCGCCTGCTCCTGGGGAGGGGAAGGGAGCGGTCAGGGCGACCGAGACGATCGGGCGGAGCGGTGGAGACGGAGAGGTCACATGCCCGTCAACAGAAGCCTGTTTCTAAAAGGGAAATACGGCTTTTGTGCTTGTGAGGCAGACTACATGTTCCTTTATCTCAGAGGCTACAAGCACCGAAATAGAGCCCTGGTGGTGTTAGGACCACTCATCTGCAGGTGACATATGGCATTATTTTTTGAGAACTGTTCAGAGCTTACTGCGTTTGAGTCAAAGGCCTGTCCTGTCCCAGATGAATAGACTAACATGCCCAACAGCGGCCACCAAACAGGGTTTTAACATAGGCAGGAACCAGCCAGCCAAACACTTTTATGACAAGCCACTGCGACCAACGACGGCAGCCGCAGCAGACAGCTGGCGCAACACCCCTGGCGACCCTCCCATAAGAGCACCAGAGCGACAATCTCACCAGAGCACCAGAGTGTCCCTCCCACCAGAGTACCAGAGTAATCATCCCACCAGAGCACCAGAGCGACACTCACCAGAGCACCAGAGTAGCCCTCCCACCAGAACACCAGAGTGGCCCTCCCACCAGAGCACAGGAGCGACACTCTCACCAGAGCGCCAGAGTGACACTCCCACCAGAGCACTAGAGTGGCCCTCTCACTAGAGCACCAAAGCAGTCCTTCCACCAGAGTACCAGAGCGGTCCTTCCATCAGAACACCAGGGTGGCCCTCCCACCCAGGCACCAGAACGTCCTCCCAACAGAGCATCAGAGCGGCCCTCTCACTAGAGCACCAGAGCGACCCTCCCACCAAAGCACCAGAGCGACCCTCCCACCGGATTACCAGAGCAACCCTCCTACCAGAGCACCAGAGTGACACTCTCACCAGAGTGCCAGAGCGACCCTCCCATCGGATTAACAGAGCAACCCTCCCACCAGAGCACCAGAGCGACACTCTCACCAGAGCGCCAGAGCGACACTCTCACCACAGCACCAGAATGGCTATCCCACCAGAACACCAGAGTGGCCCTCTCACCAGAGCACAAGAGCAATCCTCCCACCAGAGCACCAGAGTGACACTCTCACCACAGTGCCACAGCGACTTTCTCACCAGAGCACCAGTGGCCTTCCCACCAGACCACTAGAATAGTCCTCTCACTAGAGCACCAGAGCAATCCTCCCACAAGAGCACCAGAGCGATCCTCCCACCTGAGCACCAGAACAACCCTCCCACCAGAGCACCAGAGTAGCCCTCCCATCAGAACACCAGAGCGACCCTCCCACCAGAGCACCAGGGCGACTCTCCCACCAGAGCACCAGTGCGGCCCTCCCAAGAGAGTACCAGGGTGACCCTCCCACCAGCATACCAGAGCGACCTTCCCGCCAGAGCCACCCTCCCCCGACGGTCCCACCAGAGTGACCCTGCCACGTCACCCAT